AACACCTTTCATGATTATTTACCAGTATCTCAGAGAATAATATTGCTTGAATATGTGGATATATTAAGTCATTTTGTCTGCAATTTACCTTCTGATGTTGATGGCTGAGTGGATATCAGGGTAGATTTTGAGCTTATGGATGTCCTTGCTGTGTTGACTGATGTCGATTCGCTTGTGGAGATCTCACTTGTTGGATTTGATTCTGTTTAAGATAATGTTAATTGTGTCAGGTTTATTCTGAACACATTTTCTTTATTCATTCATCCTGTTTGCCCATCAGAATCGCATCTAAGTCAACTCGACGGTTTGATGTAAATTTCTGTTTGTTGCAAGTGGAAAGGGAATTGTGCGTCTGTTACAATTCCCCAGACTGAAATTGAAGCCCCGCTGTGTGCTTCAACAAATCCAGGCTGCACGGTAGGTTAGCCGAGGGAGGACCAGACTGCCACACGTCATCTTTCAGAAAAGTCCTGTTTGTTCATTCTAACATAGATAAATTCCATTGGATCAACATTGAAATGATTATCCAAAGCACTGGGGTCAGGGACACGGGAACATTCTCTCCAAATTGTGGACAAAGACATTTGTAGTCAGAATATGTTGAATCTTTGGTGCACATAATGTGACTCGGCGCAGCACACTCAGTCACTGAATCTTTTCAATACTGTGAAGAAAGATGACACAGTCTCATTTCTGATGGAATGGGTGTGATTGGCTGAATGGCCTCAGCCTGCTGCTAACACGTATGCTCTTGCGTTCTGCAGCAAGCCGGACAGCTGTGCACGAGAAGGCACCCGTGTGTTATGTTTTCTCTGGCAACAAATCGGTAACTGTCACTCTGTGTCAGACAGGGAAACTGACAAGCTCATTGAAGATATCAGAACCATAAATTGGGGAAAAGACATTTTCCACTCCACTCTCCCTGCGGACCATTTGAAATCTACAAGTTTTCCCGCGGTTGCCATGTTCAGAACCACCCTCCCAGAACAAAATTCTCAAATTCTTTCTTCCCACATTGACATTTAAGTATCCAGCCCAATACGTCACAATGTCTCCCTTTTACCTCCTGTTGTTGACGTCTCTGCAGAAGTGGTTGAAACGTGTGGACTGCTGGTTAATGTTGATGCCTCTCGTGTCGTCGATATTCCTGTTCAATATCAGATCAGTTAGTTCAGGTTTACACTTCCTTCTTAAGTCTTCCAAATGTATATCAATAAGTAATCCCCCATGCTATGACACAGTGACATCCGATGAAATGTTTGCTCCAAGTCGAAAGGGGCAGGTAAATATATTTCTGTCCTCCCTAATCAAAATGATACATTGGGATTCTCTCTGTGCTCAGTGGTTCAAAGTCTGGAACTCAGTCAGACACTCATCAAGTCTACCCCAGCGTCACCGACATCAGATCCAGGCTGGAGGTCAGCAATGTAGAGGGATTGCTACACCATCATAAGTATTGACTCTCTGATGTGACATTACTTTGTGAGTGCTTCTGTGGTCTCACGCTGGGGGAGTGAATCGAATGGGGTTATTGGACCAAAACGAGTCGCAGTCTCAACAGTTCCTGGGCTAATCTTTAGCCCGAAATATCCTCATCAAGAGAGGTTACCCATTCTCGCTAATTCCTCCTTGTTTTCACAGTGATCTTGCTGATCATAAATTGGCTCCCATTGCTCGCTCTATTAAACATTGGCTATGCTTCAGAGACCCCAACTCCTTGAAATTTAATTGTTTCAAATAAATTAGTTACAGAATCCTTTTAATTT